TATATATTCAGTTCTCAGTACTCATCCCTGTGTGTTGTTGGAAATCACAGGTGTGGTCTTTTTTTTTTTTTTGATTTTAAAATTAAGTCTAGCGTGGTGGCACGTGTCTGTAATCCCAGTGCATGGGGGGCAGAAACAGGTAGATTTCTGTGAGTTCAAGACCAGCCTCATCTACATACTGAGTGCTAAGCTAACTAGGGCTGCATAGTGAGACTCTTGTCTCACAATTTTTTTAAAGTTACGTTTATTTATGTATTTGTATGTGTGCCACAAGGTCATACAGAGGTTAGAGGACAATTCCAGGGAACTGGTCAGTTTTGTACTCAGGTCATCAGGCTTGATCGCAAGTGCCTTTTACCCAGAGCCCTATGTCTGATTTATTCGTTCATTTATTTTCCCCAAGGCAGGGTTTCTCTGTGTAGCCCTGGCTGTCCTGAAACTCACTCTGTAGACCAGGCTGGCCTGGAGCTCACAGAGATTCACCTGCCTCTGCCTCCTAAGTGCTGGGATTAAAGGTGTACAACACCATCAGCAGGCTCCTCTTTTGTTTGAAGATATGTAACTGGCCTATATGAGCCATATACTCATATGTGAGCTATACCCATAGAGCTTAGGCTGGCCTCCAAGCCAGGACTGGGCTTGAACTTCCGATCTTCCTGCCTTTATCTCCCAAGTTACGGGATACAATAGGCATGTGTCGTCACCTGGTTCCTCCACATCCCTTTCAAATCTCAACATGGTTGTTGGCTGTCCTTACTCACTTTCTGGTTCTGGTGTGTGAACTTGGGACTTAGTGCAAGCTAACCGTGGGAGCACTTGTAGGGCCACTAAGTTTCTTGAGGACAGGGCTGAGGGGGTCATCACTGACATTCTAGTGGGCCTGAGGGAAGGACAATGGAGGTAGCACCGGTCAGAGTTGTCCCAATTACCCCGGCTCTGCTACTTCTCTCCTCTGGATCTCCTATTAGGTGGTTTGTTTGATGCACGGGGGAGGGTTTTTGTGTATTTATAAATACACACACACACACACACACACACACACACACACACACAAAATGCTGGTGATCAATCCCAGGACCTTCACAAAACTAGGTGAGTCTCTATCACTGACCTTATATATTCATGTCCTGGCTCCAAAGCTGACCTTTGAGGACGACCCTGCTCCACGGATCAGGGTAGTTCCATCAGGTATCCATGTAGTGACAGGGATTGACATCTCAACCCTGACAGCCTACCTCCCAGACCCAAGAGAAGGCTCTGACTCAGACGGTGAGAAGGGTCATGTGACAGGAGTCCCCTGCCCTTAGATCAGGGAGCAGAAATGCCTTGTCTGTAGGAACATCCGGGAAGATCAGGCACCACTTCCCCCTTTCTCCATGGGTGGCTGAGGGAAGAAAGCTGGTGTTGGCCCAGCCTGGGCTACTGGGACAGGTGGCAGATACACAGCCAGTTCTATCAGTCACACAATGGTGGGTGACGTTAGGGTAGAGCAGGAATCCTACTCTGGTGGGTCCTGCCCCCCACAACTACTGAGCAGGCACCGCCCTAGGCCCCAGTGACCACACAGCTGAGGGATTCAAAGAGCTCAGCTTAACCTCATCCACAACCCTGAGCTCTCTTGCACACACTAGCCCAGAAGCAGGAAAACCAGGCACAGTTGTTTTATATTTAATTTACAAAAGAGACCCCAGAACTATAAACTATCCAGGAGCAGGGAAGTAGAGTCAGGCCTTCCCTGGTTTAGCTATAGCCTCCTTCTTCACTGCCAAGATGAGGGGCTTCTTGGGGGATCTTTTTCTCTCCCCCTTAGAACAGGGGGGTGACAGCTGCTATGGATGCCTGCTAGGCATCCCGGGGGCTCTGCCCATGCCAAATTCATTTGTCTACCCCAACAGGCTCCTCATGCCCAGATCCTTGTGCCAGAGGCCAGCTGGAGTGATATCCCGGGAGGGAGACCCCTTTATAAGGTTCAGGTGAGGGCCATGGCTACCAAAGCCAGCAGAGCAATGAGGTGGGACCCAGCCCAGGCTCGCCTGGCACTTCCTGCTTCCCGCTTCTGGTCTCTTTGGCATTGCTCGCCACCCCAGCCCAAGTAGCACTGGCAGCGAAAGTGCGTCTGCAGGTAGTTGAGGTCGGCATCGCTGAGCTTCCCCTCGGGTCGAAGCTGGGGTTCATTAGGTGTACGGCCAGGCACTAGCCGGAAGCTGCTGGCACTGAGGTGCAGGAAGGTATTGGCACTGGGATTGCGGCGCACGCAGCGTCCATGGCCATGGCATTGGGTCCAACTGCAGTACTGGGTGGCCCAGGACACATTGACTACGTAGGGAACCAGCCACTGTGTTAGGTAATTCTTGAGGTACTGGCAGGTCTCCTGGAGGAAGAGGCCAAGGTTAGCAGGTGAGCATCCGATGGTAGCTGCCTCAGCCCAAAGCCCTGATGGAAACTGTCTACACCTCTTTCTTTCGGCAGTGGTGGAGTTGGAATCCTAACCCAGGCAAGTGTTCTCTGAACCTCATCCTGGGCACACTTACTTGTGTACATATGTACATATCATATATTCAGTTCCCGAGCACTTACGGTCCTGTCCCTAGTGAGAAGTGGGGGTGGAGACAGACTGGAACCCAGCTGTGTGGATGAGGAAGGGTGGAACTCCAGCTGTTCAGGACAGCATTTCCTCTTCCTGGGAACAGGGTGGGGGTGCCCTTCTCTGTTGGGTTCAGGGACAAAGCCTCCATGCTTAGGAGGCAGCCAAGCTAGACTCAGTTCATATACCCAGGTGAGGGTGGAAGCCAAAGTATAAATTCCCCACCAGGTCTGGCTGGCTGGGGAGGTCTCCCTTACCATACTTGACGCATACACTGAGTCGCCCCAGAAAATGACACCAGCTGAGCCCAGGGCTGCACTCTCACCGATGGTAGAGATGAGGTCCATCTGTGTGGGAACGGATGATTACTGAGGAAAACTGACAGCAGACAGGAGAGGAGGGACACACCTGTTCTAACCTGCTGACCATAGCGCAAGCCCTCCCCGTATGCCTCCAGGCGGGGCTGTTCTGCTTTCTGGGTTTAAGTCCATGTCCATGCCTACCTGGGACCTTCGTCTCCAAAGCCAAGGGCACACATTCTGACTCCTAAGTTAGGACAATGACCTTCCCAGAGGCTCTCGGCTAATTCTCAGCTCTGGGCCTCAGTCTTATTTACAGAATGAGGAAGACAACGGCCTTCCACAAGAGTAAAAGAAACGTGGAACACACAGTAAACTCTAGTACTTTTGGTCCCCGATAAACCCAAGCGTGCAGTGGTTCCTGGAGGAAGAAGGCAAGGCCCTGGAACACATACCTGACTCAGTCCTGTGAGTCCTCGGGTGTATGTGGGGCGTGTGAAGACGTACACTGGGAGGGCATGGTTTGCATGGTGGGTGTGAGCCACACGAAGGGCCTCCTGAACACGGAAACTCACAAAGTTGCGGCTGTGTGTGGAGGAAGCCAGTGTCTCATCCAGGTACACAGAGGGAAAGAGAGCGGTGCTCTCCGCCCAGAGCCAGGCCAGCTGGTCGTTACGCGCCACTTCCACATCAGGACAGCGGCCTGTGTAGCTCTCCCAGTTCTGGACATAATCATGATTATAGCAGTCAGGAAAGAGGTAGAAGCCCCAGAGGTGCTGAGGTCGGACTGCCTTGACATAGCGTAGTGTATTCAACATGAACTGCCGAGCAGCAAACTCAAACTCATACTGCGCCTGCTTTACTATTCGGTCTGGCGGCCAGTCAGGGTGTCGACTGGCCACCAGCTGGCGTGAAGACTGCCGGTACACATCCTTCTCCTGCCAGTTTCGCACCCATACAGGCCTCCATTCCTCCCAGTCAATGACCGCCAGCCCCCCAGGCTCCTGGGTGTGAATGTAGCGCTCCACAGATTCCTTCAGCATGGGCAGGTGTGCGCAGAGGCTACCGTTCTGAGGCACACCACCGTGCACAGACATCCCAGCTGCATCGAAGCGTGGATACAGGCCTAGACGGTCATAGTAGAAGGTGGTGATGTTCTGGTTGACAAACCCCTCATTCGGTGAGGCCTCCACATCGAAGGCCCTGAGGTCCAGGGGCACTTTGTGGCGCGGGGCACATTCTTGTGTGGGCACATTCCATGCGACCACAAAGGGTCGGCCAGTGAAGATGGGTGGCACTGTGGGCTTAAGTTCCACGGCCCATGCTACTTCCAGCACCAGGGCCAGTGTGATGATGGGACCCAGTCCTGCCCGCATGCTGGGGGCTACAGGAAGTGTCACCTGCCTGGTAGCAGCTCAGGAACTGAAGGAATGTGTGGGAGAGAACAAATCAGTCTAGACAGTTCCAGAGGCGTGCACCTTAATCCCATCTACACTCCCCAAACCCACACTGTGCTCCCCACTGTGTCTGCCAAGGCCATAAGAAGTTTGAGAGATGGATTCTGAAGGGCAGGCAAGAGACCTAGGGACTCTACCAAACCACAGAATTTTCTGGAGCTGCCTGTGGCTGGGCAAGAATCTCCTTTAGGTCTGTGTCCCTTCTAGAAATGGGACGAATTAAGCTCCAGATTCACGGCCAGAGTCACTTACATGCCTATATACCATACAACACACGGTTTTAGAACACCCTGAACACAAGCTCCACC